AGTCCTTGGTTTTAGTCCTAGGTCCATGATCCACCTTGAGTTGGTTTTTGTGTATGGAGTGAGGTGTGGGTCTTGCTTGAGTCTTTTGCAGATATTTTGAAGCTCTCATTTCTAAAAGTCTAAAAGCAGTGTCTTCTGTCATAAAGGTGATCTCTTTTCCTGTTTATCTCTGAATAACGGTGGCTGTTTCTAGGGAGGCAGCTAGTTGCAGCTAGTTTGCTTTTCTTTTTTTTCCCCCTACTAGTTCAAATTTGTATTAAAATTTTGTAAATAAACTCTTCATTTCCCTCACCCTCCCTCCCATCAAATTGTACAACCTAATTAATTCCTCCCCCCTGTACATCCACATACATCCCTGTGCTTCCAGCCTCTCCCACCCCTCCTGGATCCTTATACTCATTCTACAATAACAGTTTTATACCATATTTATCCTTGTGGGACTGAGTTAGTTCACTCAGCATAATGTTCTCCAGTCTCTCCCAAGTTAGGTCATAATTTACAAAGTTACTGCTCCCACGTGCTGCATAGTATTCCATTGTGTGAATGTACCATAATTCCTCAATCCATTCGTTTGTGGTTGGACATCTGGGCTGGGCAGCTTTCTTTTCAGGGTTCACTTCTTACACCTTCAGCATGAGTCTCCAGAGCCATGCACGGTGGTGATGGGCCGGGCCGGGCCCCCTCGGCCTCCTGGAATTTCTGTCGGCTGACTTGACCTCCATTGATAGACATCCTTCTTTTAGAAGGACTCCAGTAATAAATGTCAGTTGACAGGTGCTTAGCCTTTGCAGAAATTAATGAGCCTTCTCTGCCCTATTAATGTAGCCACTTACATTGAGTTCCTAGTGTAAGCACGTCTTGATTTCTAGCTCGTGGTGTAATCTTGACCACACTCCAAACTGTTAATGTCTGAAGAATGTGTATATGAATTCCTCCAAAGTAGGATTGTTAGTGTTCAACACTATCTCTGTGCTTTGGTCTCAAAGGATAATAAAAAGTGAAAGCCACTTATCCCGTCTCCTCATGGCCCCCACATCCCTGGAGGAAGGCGGTAGCTGCGGCCACAGTCCCTCTGGCCACCTCATAACTCAGTCTGCCCCTCATTCATTCAGGTTCTGCGCAAGCTGTGCCCGTCTGGCTGTAATGAGGCAAAAAGAAATCCCTAGGGCCCTGGAACAGGTCGAAGACCTGAATGACCGCGTCGTCTACAACATCGCCACCAAGAATGACGTCCAGTACCGAGTAGGAGACAATGTGTACCTCCTGCCGCGTGCCTTCACATTCAAGTAAGTACTCGCTCCGCTCCACGTTGGCATAGGAGTTCCATGCCAGGAAGGGGCAGGCCTTGGAATGTCCTGCGCTGCCTGAGTGTCTGGGGGGTATCAGGACCCGGCTGCCTGACCGGGGAGACGCAGGCTCATGCAGAGTAAAGACGTGGTCTGTGCAAGAAACCTGAGCGCAAACATCTGAGGCAGCTGAGCTTGGGCCAGGAACGTCCTCTCAGCTGAAGGAAGCGCCATTCCTGATCAGACTCTAATGTACTGTTGTTGTTGTTTGATGCCGTCGAGTTGTAGACGACTCATAGCGACCCTATAAACGAACGGCCCGAGCACTGTTTGTACATAGTTTCTGGAGGTGAGTCATTTCGGAAGTGGATGCCGCTCCTGCTTCCATGTATTTCTTTTTTTTTTTTTGGTGTGTGTCTGTGTACCGTCAAATCAGATCTGACTGGTACAGGAGGATATTGCTCCTCCTCCGGCAGAGCATCTGGTGGATTCGAACCATGTGCCTCTGGGATTACAGTGCAGCTTCTTGCCACTAGGCCACCAGAGCTCCCCCCTCCATGTACTTCTAATGTACTAAATGCATTAAATGCACTTGGCACAATGCCTGGCTTAGAATAAGGGCTGATCGAAGACCTCTCTTTATGACCTGAAGATTTGAGACTCCTCTGGGTGAAAAATGAAAGCCGCAGATAACTTTGCACATCTAATACATCCTTTGTTCATTCTGAGGGTTAATGTGTGATTGGATTGCAGTCACAATTTTCCTCCCTTAGACGTGCAGTTCCGTTCGTTCTTCTGGGGCCCTAACTGGAATCCATTCTACAGCCTTGGTGCTGTCCGTGCACCGTCCCTCCGGTCCCACTGTTCTTAGCGTGGAGAGGGGACTTCTGTGCCAACACCTCCTGGCTTCTCCCAACCCCTCAGGTGGGTCAGACATAGGCACTCAGTTTCTGACTGCTGGTTCTACAAAAGTGGTCTCCAAAGAATGCTGCCTGCTCCAGAGCCCACTTGGTCACAGTGGCCCCGAATCCTGTGTCTCCTCCACTTCTCCATTGTCACTGCACCTCAGTCAACAGAGGGTGGGCTGTGCCCCTGAGGGCTTGTTTCTTTGTGCTGCTTGGTGTCGGGGCGCAACCACTTGCTAAGTGGCTCAGTGACCTGGGCTGACTGAGCTCTTCTTCCTCAAGAGATTGTGCTCCCTGAGCCGCAGGGATATGCCCACTGAGGATCTGTCAGCAAGTACATATTTCCACCAAGAAGTACTCGCACATCACACAAAGCAGCCAAAACCCACTGTCACGTCCATCGGAAAGTCTGGTGTGTGACGTGGCCACCGGCTGTCATGTCAGGAAGTCCAGCGTGTGACGGTGGCTGGGAAGCAGAGAGCTGGGCGGATCTGACCTTCCAGCGCACAGGCAGTGCTCGTCCCAATTTTCTGTGTCCCTGAGCTGCGTTTGTTTATAAGATGTCTGAATTAAACAGCCATGAGATATTATCTCACCACAGTCAAATAGCAAAATTTAACAGAACAGCAAACAACAAATGCTGGCGAGGTTGTGGAGAAACTGGAACCCTTATTCACTGTTGATAGGAGTGTAAAATGGTGCAACCCCTGTGGAAGGTGGTATGGCTCTTTCTCAAAAAGTTGCAGATAGATTCCATTTGATCCAGCAATTCCACTACTGGGAATATACCCCAAAGAGACCATAACTGACATCCAAGCACATATATGCACACCCATGTTTATTGCTGCTTTGTTCACAATAGCAAGGAGTTGCAAACAACCTAAGTGCCCATCAACAAATGAATGGAGAAGCTGTGGTATATTCACATAATGGAATACTACACTGCATTGAAAAACAAGGAACTCATAATATTCTAAATGGGTGACCCTGGAGGACATTATGCTGAGTGAAGGATCTCAGTCACAAAAGGACAAATACTGCATAGCATCACTGTTGTAAAACAAGACTGACATCGTGGTTGGAGGGAGACTGACAAAGGTGGGATAAATTATGTATATTGCATTGAAATGAGGGAGAAAACTGTTTAAAAGGGATATGTGATTTGGTATTTTTGTCATGACAGGAGTCTAGAGCGAAGGCTGCATAGTGGAGTGGACCTGTGGGGGAGGGATTGTAAAACAATGAAAGAATTTTTCTTTCACTTTTCCGAGAGGGTAGTGTACTCAGCTACCTCCTGCCCTGATGTTCTGTCGCCTTTCTGCAGCATCAAGGTGTCCAGCCCTGTGAAGCGCCCTCGGAAAAGGCCTGTGGACGAAGACCTGTATCCAGAACACTACCGGAAATCCACGGACTACATCAAAGGCAGCAACCTGGACTGCTCAGACCCGTACCTAATTGGCCGCATCAAGGAGATCTTCCGTCCCAAGAAGGAGAACGGCAAGATCAACGGGGTCGACATCAAGCTCAGGGTCCACAAGTACTACAGGCGAGTGCCCGGTTCAGTCCCTGCGAGCCTTGGGCAGAGAGGGACCCATTGTGCACGCACGTACATGCACACACACATGATTGGGGATTCGGCCAATGTTCATATATTTTCACCATGACTCTTAAGTTAGGCCCCTGATGGGCACTGACCATGTCCTCAATGATCTCTCAAACCCTTTCCTGTAGAGCTTCTTTGTGAAGCTGCAGAACTCTTTATCTCCAAGAAGAAAATCTCCACAAAGTGCAGTATATAATAAAAGCAGGGCTCGAAGGTCTAGGTCATCATCCTCGGAAACATCATCAGACACGCATAGGTCCATCCAGGACTGTAAGTTTTGCTCGCTGATACTCCAGGGCCCTCTCTTTTCCAGGCCTTTATTCCTAGTCCTGGGTCTGCCCTCTTTATAGTTTCCCAGGGGCTTGTTCTTCTGGGTCGTGGTGAGGTGCAAAACTGAAATGTGTTCAGATAGGTCGAGACTTGCTTCATTTCTTCGGTAATGCATATCTTGGGCATTTTCTGGAATTCTGTGAGGGGAAGAGGCTGGCTGGTCAGTGCGAGAAAGCAGCTGTACATGAATTCTGAGGTGCAGGCAGGCAGCTGGCGATGTGGAAACAGGGCTAGTCTCTGGGCAGGAGGTCGACAACAGACACTGGAGTGCCCTTGGCAGCATTTCAGCCAAATAAGGGCACGTGATAAAGCTGACGTGGCTGGGAGGGAGAGATGGCCACCCATCTGTCACTGACAACCCCTAGGAATGTGCCCTGAGTTCACTGCTCCCTGAGGGGCAGTCATCGGTGGTGGAATGACCATGTTCTGGAGGGACGACATTCAGTTCCGCACTATGTGTGGGGCCACTCCCCACCTGCCAGAGGCTTGCATGTTGCTGTCTACGGTGCAGCGTGTGTTTCATGGAGATTCCAGACTAAAACTGACCAGGAAGAACGGCCTGACATATTCCAGAGAAAAACCAGCCTGTGAGAACTCTGTGGCTCGAAGGGCGGTTCAGGGTCCCGTCCCATCATACACGGGCTTGCCGTGCATGGTGGAGGCCAGCTGGACAGCCACCCACCGTGAACCAAAAGGATCCCTTAACCAAGACTCTTCCTTCCTCCTCCAGGCCAGAAAACACTCACAGGTCCACGCCAGCGAGTTACCAGGCAGACATCAACCTACTTTACTGGAGTGATGAGGAGGCCATCGTAGACTTCAAGGATGTGCAGGGCCGCTGCATCGTGGAGTACGGGGAGGACAACCCCGAGTGGATCAGGACGTTCTCCGAAAAGGGCCCAGACCGCTTCTATTTCCTCGAGGTGGTGGTCTGGGCTGACTGGAGGGGAGTGTCAAGGTCTAACCTCCTGGGCCCAGGAGTGATCCAGCATTTATGTTAAGCTATGTGTGAAACCTTTAGGCAGTGGGAATGTAGGTTTTAAACACAGGAAGCCTTCTTGGGGCTGAGGTGGAGACAGGAGACAGCTTTGTGAGGCTTGAGTCACAGGGGAAGCATTGTGCAGTGCGCGGCTGTGGCCATTCATGTTCTAGATGTGACTCCCAGCTCAGGAATAATTATACTGATAAAAAAACATAACTCAGGTTTGAGAACTGTTAGCCTGCGTCAGCCCAGCGAGTGCCTTTCTGTGAAGTAGGGGAAGCTGCCCTCTCCCCGGCAGATACACCTGCGCTGGGCACCCACTTCCAGACCCGCCCTACACGGTCCTGAATGGTGGTCCTGGTTGTCCAGAGAGGATCTGCGAGTTTCTCGGTCAGACAAATTGTTAACAATAAAAGGCAAAGTCAAATAGTTAACTATAGAAACCGTAACAATGTTTTCCCAGACTAGCATGTATAAGTAATCTGTTCTTCTGAGTAACATGTTTCCATCACTTAGGAATACAGTAGTCAGGGAGCTCTGGTCTAGTGGCAAGAAGCTACACGGCAATCCCAGAGGTGCGCGGTTCAAATCCACCAGATGCTCTGTTGGAGAAGGAGGGGCAACCTCCTGTACCAGTCAAATCCAATATGACGGTCCCCACACACAACATAATAAAATAAAATAAAGTAGATACAGTAGTCCACTTTTGAATAGCAGCTTATTGATCAGCCAAGTAACGTTTGGGTTGGATGGGGTTTGTCTTTTTTCCTTTGTGAAGCCAGAATCTGCTTGCTTTTGACCCTATTTGGTGAGAAATTAAATGCATCTTTGTCACCGTAACATCTTACATCATCTGCATTAGAGGGAACCAGTGTGCTTCTCTCCCAGTTTATAGTAGTTTTCTCCTTTTCAGGCCTATAATGCAAAAACCAGAAGCTTTGAACAGCCTTCACACCATGCCAGGAACCCCAGAAATACAGGGAAAGGAAAAGGGAAGGGGAAGGGGAAAGGTAGGTGTCGTGCATGCGTAAGTCCTGTGTACCTCGGGGGCTCGCCGTGGTCATGTGATGGAAACCGGCCTCAGACATGCGTTTCCGGGGAGTTGACGTCTCTCCGTCATTCACTCAGATGACGTCTGATGACAGTGTTAGAACTGGACAGTTGGACTCACTCTGGTTGTTGTTCTCCAGGGAAAGGGCCACCGCCAAAGCCTCCAGCGCCGAGTGAGACAGAAGTGGAAGAAGTCCAGCTGCCGAAGCTTCGTACTCTGGATGTGTTTTCTGGCTGCGGGGGGCTCTCAGAAGGATTTCACCAAGCAGGTAAAGGCCGCTGAGTGTTCCCGAACAGCCCTGTCAGCCGGCTCCGGCAGCTTCTGTCTCGCACAAGATCTTCCTGGCTCCGAGCACAGTCCCGACTCGGGCGTCTCGCTCGCTGTAGTTCAGAGCACCCCTTTGTCTTCCCCCCGCCCCACCCCAGGCGTCTCTGAGACCCTGTGGGCCATCGAAATGTGGGAGCCCGCAGCCCAGGCGTTCCGGCTGAACAACCCCAGCACCATGGTGTTCAACGAGGACTGCAACATCCTGCTGAAGCTGGTCATGGCCGGGGAGAAGACCAACTCCAAAGGCCAGAAGCTGCCCCAGAAGGGAGATGTGGAGCTGCTGTGCGGCGGGCCGCCCTGCCAAGGGTTCAGTGGCATGAACCGCTTCAACTCGAGGACCTACTCCAAGTTCAAGAACTCCCTGGTGGTCTCCTTCCTCAGGTAAAAGGGGTGGACTCCCTGGTGGGCCTATCCTCCGGTGAATCACGGTCACGTGCAGCTGGAGCGTGACTAGACCACAAGCACTGGGCTCAGACGGGCCTGGTTCTAAGCCGCAGTTGCTGCATGTTCGACCTCGCTGTGTGCGGGGCACCGAGGCGGCTTGCCTGGGAGCAAGGGCTTCCAGTTGGGAAGTTCACAGCTCAGCTTTTTTTATTGTATTTTTTTTTTAAAGTAGTTGATTTTTTTTTTTAAATTTATTTTGGGTGTGTGTGTGTGTGTGTGTGTGTGTGTGTGTGTGTGTGTGTGCTGTCAGATCAGATCTGACTGGTACAGGAGATTGTTCCTCCTCCTCCAGCAGAGCATCTGGTGGATTTGAATTGTGCACCTCTGGGATTGCAGTGTAGCTTCTTGCCACTAGGCCACCAGAGCTCGCCTATATTTTATTTTTGTGTGTGTACCGTCAAGTCAGATCTGACTGGTACAGGAGAATGTCCGTCCTCCAGCAGAGCAGCTGGTGGATTTGAACCGTGCACCTCTGGGTGACTATTCCCACAGAGATCCCCTCACAGCTCAGCTCTTGGAGGAGCGTCTGGGAGTCGGGATGTTCACACCTGACCCCGGCCCCCCCCAGCCAGGCCGAGCTTTTGGGAGGGTTTCTGGTAGCACAGGTCAGTCCACCTTGGCAGTGAGTGTGGGTTACGTTTATTTCCCCCCTCCACCTTTCCCAGCTACTGTGACTACTACCGACCCCGCTTCTTCCTCCTGGAGAACGTCCGGAACTTTGTCTCCTTCAAGAAGTCCATGATCCTGAAGCTGACTCTCCGGTGCCTGGTCCGCATGGGCTATCAGTGCACGGTCGGCGTGCTGCAGGTGGGCCTCCGGCCAGAGGGCCACTCAACGGCGTGAATATGTCTGCAGGGAGGAAGTGGGTGAATTTGAGGAGTCTCTGCTTCCCCCCCAACACACACAGACACACACCCCTGACTTGCACTTGGGCCTGTGGGTGTGATATCCTCAGACGTTTTCTTTGCCTTTGCCGTCCTCATCAGTTAATCCAGGCCAGTCAAACCACAGCAGGGAGGTTCCTAACGGGCCAGTCAAACCTGAGCATGGAGGTTCCTAATGGGCCGAGCAAACACAAAGGGAGGTCACCTGGACTGCCACAAACCAGCATTTCTGACCAAAAATGTCCTGTGGCCACGCCTGCCGTCTGAGCCACAGAGAATTGACTCGGGACGCTGGTGGGGATGGAATAGGGCCTCGTGGGCTCTGACCTGCCACCGCTGCTGATTCATGTCTAGATTTGAAAAGCATGTCCCTGGTGCCCCGTGAGTCCATGTCCTCACAACTTCCTTGAGAGGCCCAGCTTCAAATGCACCAAAGACGTGGGGAGCTGTCTGGGGCAGTGTGTACATCCCAGTCTGTCCTGTCACCACCGGTTGCCGGGTTGGACAGGCCTCCTGGTTCCCTCCACCATGCCACCTCCACAGCACTGAGACCTGCAGCCCTCGCAGCGCCCACTTAAGAGCTGGGCAGAGTTGCCGGTTAAATGATGCCCACCTCTGCCCAGGAGCCCCCCTCAGGCCGTCCTCTGTCCGTTTCCAGTCCTGTGTCCTCTTACTAGGACTAGACCTGTTAGTTAAGGAGAGCTTGTACAAAGGCCAGAGCTTTCCATCACAGCCCCCCAGAAGGTCAGGGGGTGTTGGCCTGGCCTGCTGGAGGCGCCCCACTGAACGTCTGGCCCTCCCACGTGCAGGCTGGCCATTACGGCATCCCCCAGACGCGGAGACGGGCCATCATCATGGCTGCCGCCCCCGGGGAGAAGCTTCCCCTCTACCCAGAGCCGCTGCATGTGTTTGCTCCCCGAGCCTGTACCCTGAGCTTCGCGGTGGGCGACAGGAAGTATTACAGCAACATAACGAGGTGAGCGGCCCGCTTGGCCCTCGTGTCAGGGTGGGTGTTGGTCACTGCACCGTGGTTACTCCCCACTGAGGGGCACCTCTCAGCAGCCATGAGCCCAGGAGAGAGCACTGGAGGAAAGCCCCCGGTCCAGCGTCTGACCTGCCACCTCCCCTCACAGTCTTGGCCTCCCCCGTCTGTCCTGATCTAACACGGGGGCAGCAGCACCAGAAACCCCACAGGTGGCTTCGGGAAGCTCTGCGACTTGAAGCCGGGCAGCGCCACAGCCAGGGAGGGGGCTGCAGGTGAAGGGCCCCATGTCTGCTGTGCTCTGCAGGCTGGACTCGGGGCCGCTGCGAACCATCACGGTGCGGGACACGATGTCTGACCTCCCCGAGGTGCGGAACGGCGCCTCGGCGCTGGAGATCTCTTACAGCGGGCCGCCTCAGTCCTGGTTCCAGAGGCAGCTCCGGAGCGCCAATCAGCACTCCCTGCTCCAGGACCACATCTGCAAGGTACCATCCGCCTGCCAGGCACCAGGATGACAGTGGGGCCCGGCCGAAGCTCTGGGGGGACAGCAGACTGCCCCCTTTGCTTCCTCCGGCGCCCCTCTGCCAGCACTGTTCCCTTGCTTACCTCTGTCCCCACTTCAGCTCGCTGGCCCACACCATCCCCATCTTCACAGACCCAGCATCACTTCCTCACTGTACCCTTTTTTAAAAAATTTTTGTGTGTGTACTGTCAAATTGGATCTGACTGGTACAGGAGGAGATTGTCCCTCCTTCCTTGGCACAGCATCTGGTGGATTCGAACCGTGCACCACTGGGATTGCAGTGCAGCTTCTTGCCACTAGGCCACCAGAGCTCCCCTTGTTCCCCATTTTTTACACTGTCCCCATCTTCACAGAATCCTGGCATCACTGCCTCACTGTACCTGCTCTTTAAAGTTGCTGGGCATACAGGCAATAAACAATCAAAGCTTCTGTCCCTGGAATTGGCCCCCCAGAGACCTTCTTTCCCCACCCCTAAATGCATTGGACAGGGCCCCTCAGGCCTCCCCAGCTCTCCCGGCAGGGGTCAGCACTCAGCCTTCCTCCCTGAAGGGCCCCTTCCACTGCCCACATCCCTACTGCGTCTCCACCTTACTAACTGCCCACGGCGATCCCACACCGTCTCCTCCCAGTGTGATTCCTACCCCATGAGTGTCCTGGTCACCAGGATGTCCCCGGTGCACGACAGTGGACACAGCTGCCGGCTGCTCCGTAACCACTGGGTCCCTGCCCTCTCAGGACATGAGTGCACTGGTGGCGGCCCGCATGCGGCACATCCCTCTGGCCCCAGGCTCGGACTGGCGTGACCTGCCCAACATCGAGGTGCAGCTCTCCGACGGCACCAGAGCCAAGAAGCTGCGCTACACCCACCACGACAGGAAGCACGGCCGCAGCAGCACCGGCGCCCTCCGCGGGGTCTGTTCCTGTGTGAAAGGTGGGGGCCTGGCTGTCGGGCACAGAACTTCTGCCCCACCCTCATCCCCTCTTAGAGTGCAGTTTGCTGCAGATGGGAGAAAGAAAAGGGTTTCCTGGGGTTCCTGTTATCGGAAAATGCTCAGGCTGTGTTCAGTGGTCCAGAGACCTGGACGCGGAGGCCAGGCCTGTGTGCACCCTCACCCCTGGAGCCCAGGTCTGGTCGCACCCCCACCCCCAAGATGCAGAGGCCAGGTCTGGGGGCCCCCCATCCCCGGACACAGAGGCCAGGTCTGGGGGGTCCTCCATCCCCGGACGCAGAGGCCAGGTCTGGGGGTGCCCTCCATCCCCGGATGCATAGGCTAGGTCTGGGGGTGCCCTCCATCCCCGGACGCAGAGGCTAGGTCTGGGGGCGCCCCCCCATCCCCGGACGCAGAGGCCAGGTCTGGGGGCACGCTCCCCAGATGCAGAGGCCTGGTCTGGAACCTGTGACTGGACACTGACTGGACAGCATTAGCTTGAGAGTTGAGCCAGTGAGCAGAGTCTGACGGCTCCACGCTGAAGCTGCCTGACCTCTGTGCTGGTGCAGCCCTGGCCGTTCCTGACCGTGCACTACTCTCTCAGCTAACAGAGCTTGCGACCCTGCGGCCCGGCAGTTCAACACCCTCATCCCCTGGTGCCTGCCCCACACCGGGAACAGGCACAACAACTGGGCTGGCCTCTACGGACGGCTGGAGTGGGACGGTTTCTTCAGCACGACCGTCACTAACCCTGAACCCATGGGCAAGCAGGTACAGGCAGCACATCAGTGAGGGATGTGGGCCGGCGGGGACACCCTGGGGCCTTCTCTGGCACAGCCCCGATGGCATCTGGTTCTGATCTTGCTCTCCCAGGGCCGGGTGCTCCACCCAGAGCAGCACCGCGTGGTGAGTGTGCGGGAGTGCGCTCGCTCCCAGGGCTTCGCCGACTCCTACCGGCTCTTCGGCAACATCCTGGACAAGCACCGACAGGTCAGCGGAGAACAGCCCAGCTCCCACCTCGCATCCTTCTGCAGGGGGTCTGACTTGCAGTGAAGGTTCCTGGGCTTAGAAGGGGGCCCTCCTAGTTCTCACAGTCCAACAGAGGGCCTGGATGGCCACCTCTTACCTTAACTGACCTTCTGCACCTGTGAGAGGAATGACCTATTCAGGGCAGCTGTCCCTGTGGGCTTCGAATGTTCAGTGTCAGCCCATGTCATTGAGCAGGTCAGTCACAGCTGACAGTTGAGGCAAAGTTTTAGCCCAGAGCAGCGCTCTAATTCATCCACATGATACAGGAACCGTTGAAGGTGTGGCCGTGAAAACTTGCTGAAGGTTGAACCAAACCCGCGATTACTAACTAGTTCTCAAGGGTGTCGGTTGATCCTTAACTGCATTTTCATTGAAGTGATGCATGTGCCTCCACACCCATTAATGCTTAGAGTTTATGATAATCTTCCCCTCATGCCCTGCTCATGCCAAGCTTCCCTGAAAGTTGGTGGGGTGACTGTGAGGAATTTCTCTAAAGCCCTGTGGGGCTCCCTTTTTTATGGGTGCTTCTTGACATGTTGGTATTAGGCAGAGATTGGGAGGATCTGAGGGCCTTGTGGTGGGAGGACTCCCGGGGCCCCACACCCTGGGCCCAGAGCCCAAGTCACAGCTTGTTTTCAGCAGCAGTCAGCTGCAAACCAGCCTGCCTCTGGCGCTCCTCGCGGCCATGCCAAGCCTCTGCCTCCTCCTTACCTCCTGCAGGTCGGTAATGCTGTGCCACCACCCCTGGCCAAGGCCCTCGGGTTGGAGATTAAGCTTTGTGTGTTGGCCAAGGCTTTAGAAGAGAAAGAACGAGCCTCAGGTATGCTGGGCTGGGGCTGGATGCGGGGCTCCTGAGCTATGGCTGTGTGAGGAGGCTGGACCACCCCGAGCTCTGTGTGCAGACATCTTCACTTCCCGCTCTGGGACCAGGGCAGGTGACCTACCTTCTCTGGTGGCCCTGCCCTCTTGAGGGGGCAGCCTGGGTGGAGCATAGAGCCCAAGTCGGCACGTGATGGCGTGTGGTCAGTGCTGGCCACCTCCCTGGGTCTCAGCCTGCCCCAGTGTTGCCTGCGTACTTTCTAAAATTTTTTTTAACAAGAAAAAAAACAAAAGTGTGGTTTTGTAAAGTTAAGGGTTATAAGGGAAAATAAATCAATAGAATTATATAATAAAGTTGCTATTGAAAGGATATCCAACTATGTGTTTGTAGTTACTAAAAAAAAACCAAAAACCAATTATAGCTGTTATTGCCTTGTATTTATAGCCCTCGTTTCAGGATACCACATCTTAGTCCAGTTTTCTTCTGGACATTTGCAATATTTACCAGTTGTGTTCTGTGTAGTCTGAATTTGCTTTCTGTAGTTGAGCAAACGTCTTAAAAGTCATTTGTAATTTATTAAATTACTTTGTGATGTTCTATAGAGCAAATGGAAGTTTAATTTTTTTTTATTATTATTTTTGTGTGAGTGTAGCGTCAAATCAGATCTGACTGGTACAGGAGGAGACTGTCCCTCCTTCCCCGGCAGAGCATCTGGTGGATTCGAACCGTGCACCTCTGGGATTGTAGTTGCAGCTCCTTACCACTAGGCCACCAGAGCTCCCCTGAAAGTTTAATTATTTTTTATTAAACATATTCTTTTTTTAAAAATTTTGTGTGTACCATCAAATCTGATCTGACCGGTACAGGAGGAGATTGCCCCTCCTTCTCCAACAGGGCATCTGGTGGACCGTGGACTCTTGGAACCTGCTCAGGACAGCGGCTGCGGAGGTCCGCTCAGAGCTCCTCCAGGTTCTTAAGTTGCCCGGTGACAGGAGTTCCCGGTCACTGACACATCGGACGAAACGCATTGAGCTAGCTGGCCGCTTAGTGATGCTCTTCTTTGTCCTTTCAGCTGAATTGAAGGAGAAGAAGGAGGAGGAGGAGGAGGAGGAAGAGGAGGAGGAGAAAGCTACCAAGGACTAGTTCTGCCCTCCACCACTCTTTCCAGCACCAGGAATCCCCAACATGCACTGACATGTGTTTACCATGTTGAAATCTGTCGGTTCAAATGTGTCGTCCACGGTGTCAGTGGCCTTGACTGGCGTGGAGCTGTCCTGTGCAGCTCGCTCCTCAGTACCTACGGAGTGAGCCAACTCTGCAGTACTCTGTCCATTCTGGATTTTGAAGGTTTTTCTATTATGCATTATATCCAGTCTACCACTGTATGAGTAGGAAGTAAGACTTTATGTAGTTTCTATATGTTGTAATATTTCTTCAAATAAAGTGCACCTTTAAACTGCTGTGGGTTGTGGTCATGGTTTCGCCAGCGAGGGGCTTCTGGCTGCCTCTGCCAAGGGTGAGGGGAGGGCTCTGGGTGCGAGGTGACCCATGGAGGTCTTTGATGGACCATGCGTCCAGCAGTCTTAGGAGCAGAAGTAACTGGTGCGACTCAGCTCTAGCCATGAGGTCCAGAGGGAAATGCCGGTCTTTCCGAGGAAAGCCTTTTAAAGGGACATGCTGAGGTGGCCCCTGAGGGTGCAGCAGCCCGCTTGGGACCAAAGACAGGACAGAAGGCTCTGCAGTGGACAGGGGTGGGCGGTGGGGAAGGGGTCACCTTCGAGGTGCTCTCCAAAACCTATCTACTCCAAACTATTTGCTTAACGCTAATTGGGCTTTTTATGACTTTGAGCTACACTAGCTAAACCAATCCCTACAGAATTCTAAGGTTGAACCTTTTCTTAGGTTTGATTTTGGGGGAAACATCAAAGGCCAACAAAGCAGAAGCGCTTAGCAGTTGTCAGCCACCAGCAGACGTGACGAGAGCCACTGCTCAGACGAGCAGCACCTGCCCTGCTGTCACCTCTGCATGTGACCTCATGAATGTCATTTTCTGGGAGACTCTGTCTATGCTTCGTTCAGTGGAGTCGGTCATAAGGCTGAAGGCGTAACTCGCTCGATTGCAACCCTTCAAGTTCCTTAATATCCCCTCTTCACCCTCCTATAACTAGTGCTGATCTGAGCAGCTTGGTACAGCCTTCCCCATCATCCCCAAAGGGTAAATGTCTACAAGAGATACCAGGGCAGAGCTCAAGGGTTTCATTTTTTCAGAGCATGTGGGCAAACTAGACCCATGAGGTTTCATTGGCTTCTCCTACAGCAAGGAGACTGCCTTGAGCTCATTCCAGCTTCGGCCTCTGACCCTCATCCACTGAAGGGTGAGTCTTTGCATTTTTCAGTCATGACTTTACACGCACCTCCAGGTGTCCAGCGACATGTTTTCATCTTGGTGGGGCCCACCTGCCTTTCCTTGCCGAGAGCCACCAGGTAGCCACTGGTCCTTGTTTATATCTTCTCTCACGTCTTTTTTTTCTCTCTCATTGCATCATTTGATTTCTTTTTTTCTTTTATTAATTTTAATGAAAATTAACAGATTTTGGATTTCCATTCATTCATTGTTGCACTTTTCTCCCTGCCCACCCCTCCCCTCCAGTTCCTTCTCTGAAAAGTAAAAGAAAAAAATCTTTGTTATACAATCCCTCCACGAAAGTCCACTCCACCATGAAACCTTTGTTATGGACTCCCATCATGACAATAATACGTAATCACATTTCCCTTTTAAAGTTCTCTCATCTGTTTCGATGCAGTATACATAATTTATCCCATTTTTCTCAGTCTCCCTCCAACCACGATGTCAGTCTTGTTTTACAAGTGACGTTATGCATTATTTGTCCTTTTGTGACTGAGATACTTCACTCAGCATAATGTTCTCCAGAGTCACCCATTTGGAACAATAATGCATGAGTTCCTTGTTTTTCAATGCAGTGTAGTATTCCATTGTGTGAATATACCACAGCTTCTCCATCCATTCGTTTGTTGATGGGCACTTAGGTTGTTTCTAACTCTTCTATTGTGAACAAAGCTGCAATAAACATGGGTGTGAGCGTCATTTGATTTCTAAAGTAAATGACATGAATCCACCAGCTGTCCCTCAGGAGGGAGATGTGGCTGTCTCTTTCCATAAAAATCTGTTAGGTCCTGTCCAGTCAGTTCCAGCTCTTACCAACCCCAGGCACAGCAGCGCCGGACACTCCCTGATCCTCCCCTTCACTGCTCTGCTGGAGCCCTTGCAGGCAGCCACTGTCATCTGTCATAAAGATCTTTTAAATTTATTAATTTCAATGAAAATTTACAGAGGCTTTGGGTTTCCATTCATTCATTGTTGCACTTTTCTCCCCTCCCAACCCTTCCCCCCTAGTATACTATCCTCTTGGAAAAGTAAAATTTTCATTGTTTTACAAACCCTCCCTCAGGTCCACTCCACTGTTCAGCCTTCGCTCTGGACTCCTGTCATGACAAACATACCTAATCACATATCCCTTTTAAACAGCTTTCTCCCTCATCTGTTTCAATGCAGTATACATTATTGAACCCATCTTTCTCTGTCTCCCCTGAACCCTGATGTCAGTCCTGTCTTAAACAGTGGCACCATGCAGTATTTGTCCTTTTGTGACTGAGATACTTCACTCAGCATAATGTCCTGCAGGGTCACCCATTTTGAATACTATTTCATGAGTTCCTTGTTTTTCAAGACAGCATAGTATTCCATTGTGTAAATATACCACAGCTTCTCTATCCATTCGTTTGTTGATGGTATCACAAGGAACTTCGTCTTTTTTGTTGACTCTTCCCTAAGCATGATTTCCTGGGACTACTTTTTTCCTGATAACATGTCAAAATGTGTGAGACGAAGTCTCAGCAGCCTCATTTCTGGTTTATGGCTGTGATTGTGTGGATCATAACAAGTTATGACTAACATTGAGAAAAATGGAAATCCCACAACACTTGATAGTGCGCATATGAAATCAATACCAAGACCCAGAAGCCATCGTTTAAACGGGGCAAGGGAACACTGCACGCTTTAAAATCAAGCGTGTGCGTCAGGGTTGTGTCCTTTTTCCATACCTATTTAATCTGTGTGCTGAGCAAATAATTTGAGAAGCCAGAGTCTGAAGAACTTGGCATCAGGTTTGGAGGAAGATTCATCAACAACCTGCTTTATGCAAATAACACAACCTTGGTTGCTGAAAAAGAAGAGAATATGAAATGCTTGCTGCAGAAGACCAAGGACTATGGCCTTTGTATGGATTACATCTCAGCATCAACAAAGGTCCTCACCTTAAAACCAACAGCCTAGTGGCAAGAAGCTGTACTGCAATCCTAGAGGTTTGCGGTTTGAATCCACCAGATGCTGTGCTGGAGGTGGGGGATGGGGGCAATTCTCTTGTACCAGTCAGAACTGATCTGGCAGTACACATACAAAAAATACAATTTAGAGAAAAACAAAAACCAAAACCCCAACAAACACGAAAGATCGGAAAAGAAGTTGTCTACGATTTCTTTGTCTTGCTCAGATCAACAATCAACATCCTTGGTTCAAGCAGTCAGGAAATCAAGAGACATATTGCATGGGGCGAGTCTGCTGTCAGAGACTTCTCTGAAATGCTGAAGAGCAATGATGTCAGTTTGAAGACTGAGGTGCGCCTGATCCAGGCTATGGTCTTCTCAATCACCTGCTATACATCTTGAAATCTGGACCACGAATAAGAATGACAGAAGAATTGATACCTTTGAGCTGTGGGGCTGGAGAAAAATACTAAATGTCTGATGGGCTACCAAAGGACAAACAGATGTCTTTGAAAAGGCACAGTCAGAGTGTTCCATGGAGGCACAGTTGGTGAAGTTTTGTCTTTTACACTTTGGACATGTAGTTAGGTGAGGCTATTCCTTGGAAAGGGATATCATACTTGGTAAGACAGAGGGTCAGTGAAGGAGAGGAAGACCCCCAACGAGATGGATTGGCATGATGACTTGAGCAATGGGCTCTACTGTGTCAGATGTTAAGGATGGGTGCCATGAGTATGACCCTATGGACAGCTGACTCTAGCAACAACATAGTGTATCCCGTATTCTTCACCAACACCAAGTCCAGAGACCTCAATCCTTTCGTCCTTATTCACCAGCCAGCTTCTGCATGCCTGAGACAAATAGAAATAGCATTGGCTTGGATCAGCCCATCTTAATCCGCAAAGTCAACCTCAAAATGCAAAGTCACATCTTGGCTTTTTAACACATTGCCGCAAATGATGGCAAATGTGTTTCTAAGCACAGTCGTCAGTTTAAAAAGTGTACAGCAACGTGTTTAACACTCCCTTATCTTGTTCAGTGTATTTGCCCAATGCAGCATGTAGATTAGTCTTGGAAACCCCACAGGATGGTTTTGCCACATCCTACAGTCTCTGCAGTGGAAACGACCCTATGGCAGTGAGTATGGTTTCTTTTTTCTTGGTGAGAAAAATTTGTAGTTAGAATTAGTCAGCTGGACTCAGTTTAGATGATCCCAATTTTGTTGGCAACATCCAAAGCATCATGGTCAGGAGCAAGTCAAACATAGGCCTTCTCTCCATCAGGCCTAATCAAAGTGTTGACCTTGGCCACATCAATGTCATAGAGCTTCTTTACAGTTTGATCTGGTGCTTATTGGCCTTGACATCCACAATGAATACAGTGTGTTATCTTCTATCTTCTTCATGGCTGACTCAGTGGTCAGGGGAAATTTGATGATGGCATAGTGGTCAAGCTTGTTTCTCCTGGAGGTGCTCTTCCGGGGTTATTTGGGCTGCCGTCGGAGTCTCAGCGTCTTAGGCCGCCGGAAGGTGGGTGATGTGAGGATCTTTTTTTTTTTGGCTGTGGATGCCCTTCAGGATGCCTTCTTCGCCTTTAATGCCTTTGTTTTGGCTTCAGTTTTGGGTGGGGCTGGCACTTCCTTCTTTGCTTTCGGTGCCATCTTCATAGAAAGGTTGGGTTTGGTTTCAAATTTAGATTTACTTATATTTGCTGCTTTGTCTTCCATCCTTAACATTCACATCTGAACACCTGAAT